TCACCGTTATCCCCGGTCCCCGCCCCTGTCCCGGTGCTGCCTGTGTGCAGCGCCCCGCCGTCACTGCTATCGCTGTAATTAATCACTAATTAGCGGCGTGGGAGCGCAGGGGAATGCCACCCGAGGTGCCGCACCGGGAGGCAACGGAATGGGAAGGGGGAATGAGGCCGCAAAGAAGTGCCCGGTGGGGACAGACAGCATCCGAGGGGGAAAAAAACTTGAAAGTGAATCGCTCTTTGATTGACTGCAATATCGGCTGTTAATTAGTGCCCAGGTGGATCCCGTGGTCAGGGACCCAGGACCCCTCGCAGCCCCCCTATCTTGCAGGTGTGGATAGAGCCAGGAGCCCACCCTGACTCCATGGACAGTGCCGGGAGCCCGTCCTGATTCCGTGGACAGAGCTGGGAACCCGCTCTGATTCCATGGACAGAGCCCACAGCTCGCTCTGATTCCATGGACAGAGGCAGGAGCCCACCCTGATTCTGTGGACAGAGCCGGGAGCCCCCCCTGATTCCATGGACAGAGGCAGGAACCCGCCCTGATTCCATGGACAGAGGCAGGAACCCGCCCAGATCCCGCAGCTCCTGGGGCAACCCAAGTCCCCCAAGTGAGACAGTCCCCACGGGGGCTGCTGGGGTCAGGCTGCAGACCCTTTGCCACCCTCTTCCCCCGCACCAAGGCTCTCCTGTGTCCCAGCCCCAGCACGGGGAGCTCCTGCACGACACCAATTCCCTGGCAAAACCCCCTTCCCCCGTGTCCCACCCCGCTCCAGCGCAAGGCTGGCCCATCCCGAGCAAGCGATTCATGCACCACGGACCCCCGAGCAGTTCTAATCTTCTGGTTTTTTTTTAATTTGCCTCACAAGGTAGAGTACATCCAGGGAATGTGCAATGTACAAGGAAAGTGCTGGGCAGGCGAGCGCGAGGGGAGGCGGGGGTGCCCCACGGGGCCCGGGACTCGTAGCTAGCAGGCAGCACGCTCAGTCGGAGGGCGCATCGGGGGTGACAAAGGTGCCCTTCTGGTCCCACTGCATGTCCCGGATGCGGCGGATGGACTGGATCTGGGGCTGGAAGGCAGACCACTCGTTCCAGTGTCGGAAGTCTCCGGTCTCAAAGAGGTACTGGTAGCCTCTGTAGCCAGGGTACTGGTACCCGACCCAGCTGTGGGGAAAGCAAACACAGGGTGCCTGAGCGGGGTCGGCCGCTCCAGGCAGCAGCCACATGGCTGGTGGGTGCTCAGGGGGCTGGTGGGGCCTCCCTGTGCTGGCCACCAACCTCTGGGGGACAGCCACACCACTAGAAACAGCCACACCACCCAAAACTGCCACACCAACCGACACTACCATGCCACCAAAAGCAGCCATGCCACCAGAAACAGCCATGCCACCACTTTCTGGCTGCCTGAGAGCCCACAGCAGCTGGTTAGGGAGGACAGGGAGCCTGACACGAGGCAGCTGCCACTGCAGCCCAGCTTACGTTCCACTGGGCACCTGCACGCTGCCCACGCGGTCGCAGAAGCCATAAGCCCAGAGGCTGGGCACATCGTCCTCCTGGATTTCCATCTTGTTGCCCTTGAAGTCAGCAGACTCGTAGAGGGAGATTTTGTGGTCCTCAGCCTCCTGGGGATGACAGAGGGAGGGTGCTGGGCAATGCGGTTGAAGCCCTGGAGCTTTGCTGCAGCGAGGCATCGAGCACACAGCCCTGGGCAGACCCCACCAGGCTCTCTGCCCCCCAGCACTCACCATTTTGATGGGACGCATGGACATGAAGCAGTCGCTCCGGTAGCTGCTGGACCAGGTGTCCCAGCGAGGGTACTCGCCCTTCTCCAGGATGAACATCTCCCCACGCATGTTGGCCTGCTCGTAGGCCACCCAGCTGAGGAGACAGGTGGGCAAAGAGCGGGTCAGGTGCCACCCAGCAGTTCCCCTCCTGCTCAGCCAGCTTGCAGGTCAGTGGAGGGGTCTCCAAAGAGGTTGTGGCCCCACCACCCCGCTCCCACGTTTCTCCCAGCCCAGGCACTGCAGCCTGTGCAGAGCCAGTGCTGATCCATGACCTCCTGGCTGGAAGCTCACTGGTGTGTGAGTGTCCAAACCTGCAGCAGGCACCAGCACTCACAGTGCTCCTCTTCCTCAGCTGGGGAGCAGCAGGACCCCTGCACAGCTGGTGACCCTGCAGAGTCAGCTCAGGACTCTGCTGTCCCTCCTGCCGGGGCTGTGTAATCCTGGCACCCTACACGCCTCACTGCTCCAGCAGCAGCCAGCACTGGCACCCATCCCATTGTTGGGAGTGGGGCTCACCCAGCTGCAATGTCACCTCCTCAGCAGAGCCACGAGGTGCTGAGTGCTGAGAATGTCATGGGTGTGGGGCTCCAGAAGCCCCCGGCACCACAACAGTCCTGCATTTGCTGCTTCCCCTTTCCCTGCAGCACAGCTCTTCCTGCAGATGCCAGCAGGGGTTTTCCTGCTGGCAGGAGATGTGTTCAGGTACCCCAGGCTGCACAGCCTCAAGCTGGCTGCTAAAGCTCAGCTTTGTTGTTTTGCTTTCATCTTCCTCTAAGCACATTTTTGGGTGCAGAGTTCCATCAGTGACTCTCAACAAGCTTCTAAAGGACCCCAATGACACCCAAGATCTCTGTCCTCCCAATTTCACCCTTTCTGCACCTTCCCAGGTAACATATCTGAGCTCCTTCCAGGCTGCTCCATCCCCCACTTGTTTCAAGAAGAGTTGGACATTCTGGGTTCTTAATAAAAAAGTTATTGGTGCTGCATGGTGTCATTCCAGGTCACCCTCCCGGACCCTCATGGATGCTGTCAGGACAAGCCGTGTCCTGTGCATCCTCCCCACAGCTCTACCAGCCCCCCTGCATTCCTGGGCACGCTGTTTCCAGCCAGCCACAGCACGGTGGGATGCTCTTTCAACATGGAGATCATCTGTCTGCTCAGTTATCTGCTTTGGGGATCGTTTTGTCCCTGCCTGTGTCAACTGTTCCCATGGCTTTGTGACCTGCCCAGCCCCCTGTCACTGCTCATCTGCCTGGGTGCAGGCAAGTGCTTGTCCCTGCCTGGCCCTGTTCCATCCTGGCCCAAGGATCCCACCTCATTTCACCTTGACTTCTCTAAAATCTGCAGGTCCCTTGTATTCCATGCACAGCTTCAGGTGGCTGAAATGATGGACTCTTCTGGTCCCCTTTTCTTTGCATGTGGCTCTGGCATCCTTCCCACCCATCCTGGCCCTCCTGTCATCCTCAAAGGAGATCCAGGATGCCTGCTGTGCTCCTGTGCTCCAGGAAATGTCCCTGAACATCACATTGTTCCCACCCACCAGGAACATCCCCAGGGTCACAGCCCCCTCCGTGGCTGGGGTCACTTACGGTCCGGAGGTGACAATGACACTGCGCACCCGGTCGAAGCCACGGTCAGCCAGGTTCAGGCACTCGGCAGTGAACTCCATCTGCCTGCCCTGGAAGTTCTCCTGGTCGAAGACAACAATCTGGGGGTGCAAGGAGAGGGTTGGATGAGGACAGGCATGCTCAGGGAGGGCAGGCTGGTGCTGGGTGACCAGTGCCTGAGCCTTCTGCTCCAGGTGTCCCCCTCGGCTCTCCAAGCCTTCCTGCAGCTTCTCCAATGTGGTACCAGCCTGTGCTGAGCTGGGCTCTGTGCATGGGCATGCCCCAACAGCTGTTCCTGCTCCAAGATGGCCCCATCCTGCCCCTGGTTTTGCTACTGCTGGTGCCCACAGTGGTGGGAAGGAACTGCTTCTCCAGGTGCTCTGTCTGCACCTTGGCCTTCCCAGCCTGGCATGGTGTCACCAAAGCCCTCGCATCACTCACCCTCCCGTGCCAGCCCTGCTGCGGTGCCTCAGTGGCATGCTGGCATCACTGTGGCATTTCAGCGCTGGCCTTGTCACCCCTAGTGTCCCCGCTACCTGCATGCAGGGGTGACCAGAGGGAGCAGGAGACAGCGTCCAGCCCTGACACCACAACCCAGGGGAGAGCACTTCCCAAGCCTGTAGTCCCCAACAAGCTGTCTTGGCCAAGGCACCTTTAGACTGTTCCTCCTGCAGCAGCTGCCCAAATCCTGTGCCTGCTGCCAGAGAGACAGAGCAGGGATGGCATCACCCACACTGCCACAGTCCTTCCCCCTGCAACAATGTCCTCCTGCCCTTGTCCCTCAGCCCAGAGCGTGTCCCTGCACACATGGGGAGCCACAGGGCTTACCCTG